ATGCATTGCAATGTGCAAGGTGACCGAAAAGGATAAGAGTATACTTATGCTCTACCATATTGTTCACTCATCGATGATTTGTCATAACTTATTTCACTACAAATTAAAATATTTCTCAAGAGTGCACTTACATGAATTTTTAAATACAATGCAATTTAACAGCTTAAATTAAGTAAAATACATATTACTATTATAACTGAATGCCTGTGTAAAGTATGTAAAGTAATTTGTAACTTGTCTATTTTTACGTCACTGATTTCATTTAATTAAATTATAATACATTTAGACTAGTTAAAAAAAAATCATATTAAAAAAAAATCAAAATATTTAGATCAATTAAATTATTCATACGTGAAAATAATCATTCTCTTTTGTAAAATATTAATATTTAGTATTTTATTGTTAATCATTAACTTTTTTTTATCTATATGTATTTAATTTTGAGACCACTATGTTTAAAATAGCTGTTATATCTTTATTAATCTATGATACATAAAAAAAAAAAACATATCAACTAAAACAAAAGAAAATTCTTTATAAAAATAAACCTACAACATTGATTTAATTATCAGTTAGAGAAAATAATCTTATTGTAAAAAAAAAAAAAAAAAATAACGAATTTATAGTTTATTAATTTATTTCTCGTCATCTACGGTATAGGATTATGCTTTTGATTGATTTTTACAACAATATTTATTATTAATTTATTTACAACGATATATTTTTATAGTATAGCATATAATTTTTACTGTATATTATTGTCTTATTAATAATATTTAGTCATTTATATTGTACATTTTATCCAACAATTGAAAATAAATTTTGCCTCACATCATTATTTTGTATCTAAGAATGTATTGATAGGTTAAATATTAAACCTTAATTTCAAGAATGGCATTGCATCTTTGAACTAAGAATGCAGTCTGTACTCAGTAGCAGATCTAAAAAAAGATGGTAAACAGTCAGAATGATGCATGAAATTTAGTTGCGGCAAAACAATCTTATATTATCTCGAAATCAAATATGGATAAGCCTTTATTATTCATAACCATAGCTTTGGACGTTAACGACTTCGCATATTTATACATAGCGTTACAGGTTTAATGATGCTCTAAAGTCTAATGGAAAAGAGGAATTTTCTTTCAAGATATAACCAATAAATAATATAACATTTCACATATTATACATTATGTTATCCATGTATTAACATTTCACACACTTTTTCAAATAATTTTCTAACTTTGATAGCGTGCATACGTCATAAAATTATGCTTATTTATTTTGTGTTATTTTTATTTTAATTAACTTTTTAGTTGTTGTTTTTTGCACAATAATTATTTAGTCGGTTAAAAACATTTAAATTCTAAATTATTACTTAAGGTACCTAGCATGTAAATAAAAAAATAAAGAACAGTTTGTTTACTGTAAAAAAAAACTAGCATAATAGAGTTTGAAACAATTGTGAAAATAAAACACAATTAAAATGTTGAATAGCTTTTTTATTTTTCTATGAATATGGAAAAATGTCTGAACGTAAAATAGTTTTAATAAATAATATGTAATTCATACGACAAAAATTTAAATAAAAATTACATTAAATAATCTTTACAATCTAATATATATATATACAATTAGATAGTTATACATTATGGAATAAATTTAAAGAAAAAATTCAAATTTTCATAATAGTCCTAAACTTTCAATTAATTAGAAATCAATGTTAAAAATATATTGTTAAATTAGGATTAATTATTTAAATTCAAAATTATAGATCTAATTAAATTCATCATAGTTTTAAAATAATATTATATTTTTAAAAAATTTGAATTTGTTGATTATTGAACGACGAACGAAAATACTCAATGTAAATATATCATATTTAATTAAACATTTTAGTTTTATTAATTACAAGAGAAAAGCATATTGTTTTAAAAAGCGGTAAAAAAAATTGAATAGCTTTTAAAGACAGTGAATCCATCACAAACCCTATTTAAAAAACAATTTTATAAACTATACCAGCGTTGGCGTAAAACGCATTTGCCGACAGGCTTTTAAAGAACATTTAAAATAGATATTTTTACACGGTATTTTTTTAAATTAGTTTACACTGTCAAATTTCATTACCGTTCCAAAACGCCAATGAAAAAGAAAGAAAATCCAAAAAAAAATAAACCATACAACGCAAAATAAATACGAATTTTAGTGAAAAAATTTAGAATATTATGAAATAAGTATAAATCGTTGCTTATACACTTATAACATTCACGTTCATTGTTCATAAATTATTATACTACGTTAAGTAAAGAAAACAAAAAACAAATACATTACATTACGACATCAAAAATACCAAGATACAAGATAATGACATTTTTTTTTGTTTTTATGTAACACAGTAGAAAAGGGTATAACATTATTTATTCAGTCAGTATTATATATGACTATAAAGTTATACATATACACGAGTTAACATTTTGAAGAAAACAATGATGCATTTTTTTTCAATTCTAAAAATATAATAAACATTTGAATCACTCAAAAATTTCAAAATAGTAAAACCAAAACATCCTTAAGTCTTAACACAATATTTACATAAATAAAACGTATATTATGTTCGTCTCGTGACATTATATTCGACATGCATTTATAAAAAAGGTAGGTAAGCAAGTACCACTCTGCTGTACATTAAGTATCAAATGAGTCACTACAAATTATTATAAATGTATTAAATTTGAATTCAATGATATATTATCGAATATACAAAAAACGACCATGAGCAGAAACAATTTATCAGTCTGTAATGCCAAGAGATATGATTATTTAATATGGCTATTACATTCATTTATTTTACTTTAAGTATTAAAATAGATGAATAAAATGTTTTCTAAAAAAATTGCATTTATAATATTTTTAATACTTAAATATAATAACAATATATATTATACCATTTATATCAACTTATACAACTCAAGATTTAATAATATTTTTTTTTTTTTTAATGAATCAAAAATATTATTGTATGAAGTAAAATGTATAATAATATATTAATATATAACATTTTAAGTTCCCACAAATAATTTCTTTTAACTTTTAGATCATAGTAAACTAATCAGCATATGGTTATTTATCGTTTAAATAAGTAATTTTATCCAAATTGGAACTTAAAATGTTTATAAAAAAATAATTTTGATTAAACATTTTATTTTTTAATTTTATAATTTTAAAATTAATTAAATAGTTCATGAAGAATTTTGTATAAAATTTTCAAATCTCAAAAAAAAACTTTTACAAAAATAAAAGTTTTTTTTGGATTTTTTGTGATTTTGACGTATTTTGTCAAAATTATAACATCAAATTCTTATAAAAAAAAAACTGAACCCATGGATTTTTAATATTTTTTTATAGATACAAAATTAACTTTCATATATTTTCAAAAATTTTGACCCAATAAATAATTTTTAGTCGAAATGCATGAGAAAAAAAAAAACAAAAAAAATTTCTTATGCCCGTAAATATCTCAAAATAGTTAAGCAATTAAATGAAAAAAAATATATTTTCTTATGATAAAAATTGTTGATATATTTTATTGTTGATTTATTATTTAACGGGTAAATTACGAATTTCGTAAACATTTCAACTTGAAAATCGCATGAAAAATTAATTTAACTTTTCAGAAGTATTATTTTTCATATATAAATTTGAAAACTAATAAAAAAATATGTATTTAATTTTTAAATCTTGGGTAAAAATAAATAAATGTTCATGAATTTCTAAGTATAAAGTAGTATACTCATTTTCACGATTTTTATAAATTTTATCGAAATTCTAACTTTAAACGCTTTTTAAAAAAAATTATAAAAATGGATTTTTGATACTTTTTAATTAAAAAAATTAACAAACTATGATCATATATGTATTAAATTTTCAATTATTTCTATTTATTAAATAATTTTTAATCAACATTTACAAAAAAAAAACCAAAAAAACTATATGTCTATAAATAACTCAAAAACCATATAAATTTTCGTTATAAATTTCAAGTATTTAAAATTATTTATTTCCAAATAAAAAATAAAACGGATTTTTTCAAAAAATGGATTTATGTAAAAATATTGTCAATTCTTAATTATTTAAATTTTTTTTTCTCATTTATAAATTATTATTAATTATATATTATTTATTATATAATTAAAGGGAAAGGATGTTTAAGTTTTATCTATCTAAAATACAAACTAGATACTATTTGATATCCAAAACCATTCCTATTTTTAAAAATTGAAGCATTTTATAGTGTACCTACTCACTACTCATCCACTAGAAAATAAAATAACACATCACTGTAAAATCAATATATTCATCGCTCAGCTCAAAATCTAAAAATATGTGTGATGAATGCAACCGCTAGATTCTAAATGAAATATTAATGTTACATAAGAAAGCATCAATATATAAGAATTTATAGAAACAACTCTTTATGCAATTTAAACAACACGATTAGTGATGTCCACTGTTCACACAGTTAAAATTACAATATTAACTAGCAAAGATTGAGATTTTTTGATGCAACTATTATAAAATATTTCAATTATAATAAATTGTATATATCTTTTAGACATTATCAGCAATTTATAAAAACAAACAAATCATAAATTTGTAATATTATCTTATTTTTTAATTCCACTACCCGAAAAAGTCTAATGAAAATACGTGCCCGTGCAATGTAACTATAATAGTTTTATTTGTGAATCATGACCCATTGTTATTTATTATTTAATAAATGATTTAATTTTTTGGCAATATTTATAATTGTACATAAATACTATTTTGTACAATATAACGTAATACTTAATTAAAAATGTACGAACTATTTTTAATAGTTCTATGTTTTCCCAACCTAGTACCATAAATTATATTAAAATACGTCTAAAAATGGCTTTACCATAGGATGTATGTTACCGTAAAGTCTCTATAAAATAAAATATTAACTGCAAATAAATACTGACTAGGTATAGGTCCAATAAGGATTGGTGGAGTAGTCTTTCATTCTGAAAATAATTCATATTTAAATTAGTAGGTATATTGCAATCGAACATAAATAAAAAGGAATAGATTTTTTAAGATATAAATTAAAAATTTGGACTGAAATATACTGTTTCCGTTATGAGTTATTTACCGATACCAGTAGTATAGGAAATATTAACATACACTTACGCGTATTCATAACATACACTATTTATTTAGACACCGGATAAAAGCAAAATTTAAGCCACTGTTTATTATATTATGTTGTTATGTATGTATTTTTAAATAAATATAGATACCTGCTACGATTAAAATTAAAAACCATTTGAATATATTTGATTACTATTTGATAAAACTAAAATGAACCATACGATGTAAAAATTCAAAATCGAATATTAAATGTTGATTTAGACACACTTAATATGCAAAATCAAATTGACAAGGTAGTAGGTACACGTATTCCTATGGGTGTAGTGTATAAAGTAAGTTATTTGAATTACTTTACATAAAATGTCTCTTAAGCCCTAGACAAATTTAAAAGCGAGTAAAATTACCCAACCTATCGAATTTCTTTCATTATAAATATATTAATATAGATTTGGTGTTTTAGGTATTACTTATATAATTAATAATTATTTGTAAAATCCAGGTTTATATTTAATAATATTAGTTGATTTACTCGTGCTTCTAAATACTGATGAAGATAACTCGTAAAAACACAATTATGATTCTTATTGCAAATAAATTATTTATTTCCTAATCTTTTTCTTATCATCTTTTTTTATCCTTTTAATTACATAGCTAGGTTCTACAGTATCGATATTATGTAATTAGCTCCTACGGTAGTAAAATTCATAATTTTTCAAACTTTGATTATCCAAGTTTAGGTAGTTTAATCAGTGTTTTTAAGTATAATCCACTTGATATGAGTTCTAATGATGAAATATAGTCGATATCGTTTATTTAAGTTTTTATATAATTGTTAATTTTTTTAATTTATGTTATCAAAATATTTTTTAAGTTACAACACAAGTTTTTTCAACACAATGCCATTTATAGTCTATAATATATTATTATGCAAATTATAATAACTTTAAAATAATAATACATTTATTATAAAATATGATTATAGTAAGGGTATACTAAAAGTTTTGTATTTATATTGAAATAATTAATTTTCTTGAAATTATTTAGTTTATAGTCTTTTTGCTTCATTATTTATCAGGTATTTATTTTATGTTGATTAAGAATCGCTTGTTTTATCACTTCCTGAATAATGTTAAATTTAAATAACATCCCTTTATATGGTAAAATTCATAATATATTTATATAAAACTCATCAAGTACAGTGTTTTAATTTTTTTTTTATCCAAGCTTAAGAAGGATAAAGTTTTAAAGGTAAATTTATTAAAAAGATAAGTAATACATTTAATCTCCTTACAACTACAACTACCCAATCAAAAATTACACAGAATCTTGAGTTTAAAAAACCAGTCTTTCTTACAAGTGTATCGATTCATTTTTATTTATTATTATTTTTTTTTTTTTTTGAAGTGTAATGTTTAAAACCATTATGATGCAATATTATAATTAGTTTTTTTTTTAGTTTATTTATAATTTAGTAATTAAGCATGAAATATGACAATTTATGTGCTACTATCAATATTCATATACATTTATAATTTTAACTTCGAGCCAACATAATTATACGTATATTTTATGCTTCTATTTTTTGAGTATTTTTTTATTTGTTTAAATATATTTATTGGTTGTCTTTGTATAGATGTTTAAAAGTTATAAAAGTTTTCGAAATTTATGCAGTAAAAGTGTTTTAATTTAGAACAATAAGATAACTTATAATATATAGAATATACTTTATAAGGTTATTGAAGTTTTAGTTGCAATTATTTTTATTAATAATTTAAAAAATAAGACACCCTTGTAGCAGACAATAAAGCGATAATAGCAATATATGAAAATCATTTAATTGCTTCGACCAATCTCCAAACTCACCTAGACCTTATTGCGCAATTGTACTCCAGATGGCAAATAAAACTAAACCACAACAAGTCGGTACACATGACTTGTACGCTAAAACACGGAACTTGTCCACCTGTATCTGTGGACAGCATTCCTATTCCGTCGTCTGACACCGTCAAATACCTAGGCCTGACCCTCGACAAAAGGCTAACTTGGAAACAGCACATAAGGTCCAAACGACTAACTTTAAATTCTCGTTCTCGCTCCCTCAAACATCTCTTATCAAAAAATAAATTCACTAAATTAGGAACTATACTTCTCATTTACAAGTCATTATTAAAATCCATTTGGACTTATAGATTAAAATTGTGGGGATCAACCAAAATAACTAATGTAAACAAAATCCAGACCTTCCAGAACATCACCCTACGCAAAATAGCAAATGCTCCACCGTATGTATCCAATCTAACCCTCCATAATGACATGCGCATGAAAACAATCGAAGAAGAATCTGTAATTTATTACAAGCGTTTCTTTTCACATCTAGCTAACCACTTAAATCCACTAATCAGGAATCTAAATACAGTAACTTTGCCCGAAACACCTCATCGTCGCCTAAAAGGGAGATGGTGCAGGGATCTATCCAATGATCTATTTCTCGGTGTTCACCTCACTCTTATTCTCCATTAAGTCATAGATTAACATAATCCGTGCTCATGCCAAGTGTTGCTAATGAGTGACTTCTTACCCCCGTACTACCCTGTGTTTTCTTTCTCTCTGTAAATACGCTTATTATGCTTTTAGTATAGATTGTGTAACTCTTATAAAAAAAAAGTAAATAAATAATAATTTAAAAATGGATTTAAAAAATATAAACATTATTTTATTGAATCCAATTATTACAAAGGGTATTAAACTATAATTTATATGTTTACATTATAATATCATATCGTATACTTCTAACATATTAACTCAAGTAAATGATTTCTAATTACTATCAAACGTGTGAAATTATCTAAATGCATACAATACATCTATCTTTAATATGTATTATTTAAGTCAGTTTTCTAAAGATAGATAAATAATTTAATATTGTAAAAAGAAATGCTTATGTAACCATTAATTAAATGTAGTTTTCCAATTTTACAAAAAAGTGCATACTATTATATACTATAAAGATACTTATAATTACATTTTTTCATAAAATATTTTTTAATTATACAAAATTACAAAACTAAGATTGACTTAAAATCAATTTAAACATTTTGAAAAAAAAATAACACACTATTTAAATCGTTTTATTTCAAATTTAAATCTAAGTTGAATTTAACCATTATTCACAATTTATTTCAATGGTGTCAATTATTATTTTCCAAGCAGCTATGGCCATGTATAGATAAAAAAAAAATTCTTCAAATAAACCTAGTTAAAAATAGAAAGTTACATAATATATCAATATATATTACTTCGAAACACTAATTTTTAGTTTTTTTATTTCAAATGAAAAATATTAATATCGGTCGTTTTAGTTCTATCTTTTTTTTTTTTTGCTGATACTAAAAGAAGTAAGAAAGCTCAGTTTTATAATACATTTCTCAAAAATAAAATATTTATGGAACATAATTATTGCCGTGCATATTGTTTAGGCTATAGGGCGTGTTGAACTTTAGGAATTACTACGCTGCTAAAGAAATATATATAAATACATAATCTAATTACTCGATTCACAAAAGAAAAAAAACAAAGAGTAACTATTATTCCAAAAAAATCTTTTTTTTCATAATTTTACTTCAAACAATTTTTATTTAATAAAACATATCATTTTATACATAGCAAGACCATAAAGCTTTTTACTTGTTTCGTCAAGAAACACATTTTTATTTCGTAAAATAAGCATTATTTATTTTCCTTAAGATATGAATTTCGTAAAATATTAACTGCAATCTTTCAAAAAAGTGACATTAAAATTGCATATAAATAATATTAAAAATATAGAAAAAGCTAAATGAATATTTCCGTAAACTAAACGAATAATGATTAGGCCTTACACTTTATTATTGCATCACATTATGTCCCACAAATATTATGGTACTGAATCAAAAAGTTTTAGTTATATGATCATTATTATTAATTAAAAATGTTTGAATTTCTATATTTTAAATCACAGCTATGATATGCTATGATAATACATTATAATAATTTCATTGAAATTTTTTATTTTTTATAAAAATATAGAGTTTTATACTTTTTTATAAATATTTTGTAATATTATGTATACCGAATTTAATAAACTTTATTAATTGAATCCCTAAATAAAAAAGTTAAAAATTAATTACTTTTTTAATAATTAAATCTATAAGGTTATCAATTTTCATATAAATCTCATAGTATAATAATATATTGCTAAGAGTTTTACGTAAAATAATAAATTTAAAAATTTACCTACTGTTACAAATTAAAAATGTATAAAATTAATTAATATTGATAGGCTGATTAAATTTACAGTTACACAGAATTAGTTTACCTACATTATAAAAAAATACTACAGTTTTCCAATATTATATTAGTTATTGCATATTGCAATATGTGCATATAGGTACCTATATTTATTTTCAATCTACAAATATTTGTAGATTTCAATAAATTATAAAAATAATATTTGATTATTTACAACATATTATATTTAATTTATATAATGTAAAGCACTTTATTTTTTTAGCGTTCGTATAGAAAATAAAAATTTATCACGCAGTTAAATAAAATAATCTTTGTCCCAAATGTACAACTTATAAATACACAATTCTCCAAATTTAATACTAAACAAATAGTTATTATGTAAATGCTATAAGAATGCATACAATAAGTTATGCAATGTGGCTAGATACATGAATTACTGTCATTTGCTTCGACTTTTAAGGAGATATAATTTACCTACGTGCTTTTTAAGTTTTTTGCTATCGATTACGTAAGTTACTGTCTCGTTTTCCGTGGGTTCGAAAAATAAACATTTGGAAAACAAAATTCACCGGGTACGATATACGAAGTAGGTAAACGTTTCGCCCACAAATAGCGTATGTAGTTATATTGTTCTACATGCAATTCTGTCCGTCAACAATTCCGCATTTTCAAATTATATCTATGTGTCGACATTCAACGAATGGACCTTTCCTATGTAATATATTATTATTATATGACCGCGGTCGTTCCCTCGTGATCATCATCTGTTTTTATACACTGGCATATCGACGTGGTCAATTGCTATCGCCGTTTTTTATTTATTTCAAACTCCAATATTATTATAAATTCGGTTTATATAGCAATACCATAGCTTATGTATTCGAACGATCTCTTCACGATCTAACTTACTGCACAAGCTCCTGTATACAAATCATATATTTTGCTGCAGATTCTTCAGTAATACAAATACATACGAAAATGAACGTCAAAATTTCTCAAAAATGTCACGAAAGTAATTTTTTTGTAGCATTATATAATAATAATTTATAAATACCTACATCTAAAAAAAAAAAAAATAAATAACTAAATACGTTATATTGTTTATACAGCTAGTAGCTACATATGTAGCTTTTTAATACAGAAACTATTTTTTGTTATATTACAAACCATTATAAAAACATGTAAACACTAGTCTCATTATGCGTAGTCAATATCGTTTCATACAAAGCTGCAACTTCAACGTATAAGAATATTTTACAGATAAACATTTTTTAAGTTATGTAATAGAACAGCTATTGATATTATGTAAGCCGTTATTTTTTACTTAATGTTTGAAATAAAAAGTATAAAATCCATTAATATTTCATTGTATATAATTTTTAAAAAATATTTCAATTCTAAGATCTAATTAATTCAAAAAAAAAAAATAATAATAATAACTAATTAGAATATTATAACTTCACAAATCGGCATTTCTGATACTATTTGCAGGTTAGTTAGCTATTTTAAAATATTTTCCATGAACTTATGAAATAAAATAAAATGTTGGCATTACCACTCTACTTGTCAATGCATTGAACATTCACTAGATATTGGTAATTATGACAGTTTTCAGTAATAAACATTTACGCGTTGGGTTTGGTAAGTCTTTTTACCACTTATAATGAAAATTTAATTTCGATTATGCAATATAGTTTTATCGTATAATTTTAAGTATGATATATTTATAATTATTATAAATTTTTCAATTTATCCATTATTACAATCATTTAAAAACCATTGAATTCATTCTGTCTTACGATAATTTTATAATTATTAAGTTCCAAATTCCATTTTTAATTTTTTTATATATTTTATATAATATAACTTTTGTACATACTATTTCAAATAAATAAAAAATGTATTTATGATTTAAAATATATAATTACTATATTATATTATGTATAAATGTATAACGTTTTTATTTATACTTTGTAAATGTTATACAAAATATTAATAAACAATTAATTAAATTATTAAAGTGAATATTAAAAGTAATTAAAAGCATATACCTAACTAATCTAACCAGTAACTATGTTTCACAACAAAATATTTTTTTAATTTATTTGAACCAAAACATCTATATTATATATTGTATATTTTATATAAATGGTATTAATATTTACGTATATTTGTGTCAAAACAAAACCATGAATTTAATTTATAAGTTTTCATGATTTGTAAAACTATGTTTGTTTGGTAATTACTTTTATAGTATAATAACTCAAAATACATTATCTATATTCGTATACATTTACTTTACACTGAAGTTAAAATTAACTTCAGTAATTTATCATCAATTTTACACGCATTTTATCGTTTACCTACTCTGAAAAATGTATTATTTTGTTATTCATTATTATCTATAATTTGTATTTAAATTATATTATATTAAATATCCTTACTTAATTAATAATTTATAACAAATATTAAGCAGGTTGTACTTACATTGAACGTTTAAATTAAAATATAATATTTTAAAATTAAGAATGTAGTGCATTATAAATTTAATAACTTATGAAATTGTATTCATGTAATTTTTTTTAACTTAACAGGTTCACTTAATTTACAAAATATGCATAAATGAATTTAACAAATAAATTTAAAAAAAAAAAAAAAAACAATAAAAAATACTAAATAAATAAATAAGTACTAAACAGATACTTATTTGTATTTATATAAAAGTTTTGTTTACCAATTATTTTAGAAATAAACCTAGATATAACTTTTAAACCTAACTTGAATTGGTTTTGTGCAAATATATTTACATATATTTATATACATATAATTTATATTGTGTATATTATTAAATATATACTTTTTTTTATTTTTATTTAACCTTGTGCGCTTATTTGTATACCTTACATTGACTTTATTCAATATTTAGTTTAAACTATTAAGTTAAGTTTTTTTTTTATTTTATAAAAAAAATAATTTTTATAATCTGTGTAAAATAAATATACAAAGTAACACGTCATATAAAACGGCATACTCGAAAGAAAGATTGACACTATATCTAAAATTTAAAGTGGTAAAACAAAATGTTTGACTTTTATTTTATCATTTATAATTATTATATATACAAAAGCTTAAATAAATTTAATTTTATTAAAAAACGACGATTTCTGGTATTTATGAAAATGACATATAGATAAATCGATACATATTTTAACTTTAAGTTAATGTTATTTATTTAATATTACAGATAAACAGCAAATGACTGAAATTTAATTTGAACCCCTGGCAATTTAATTATTTATGTTTTTACTTCCTTACACAATATTAACCGAATGAAAATAGCAAATAAGGTTCAATATCCGCAAAAGATATCTAATTAATTGAGCTCTCTGAAATAATTATTTACTTCTACCGTGATTTCCATTGCCTGTGGCACATACATACGTATGTGTGAGCAGTTCAATAACCTATGATGACGATATTTGAAATTATATTAACCATTAAAATAATATAATTTTAGTTCGTTTGATTGGAATTTATGAAACAATCTTTTTTGATTCCAATTTACTTACAGTTTAATATAATTGTTAAAATCAAGATTTATATATAAATATATTTTTTAATCAAATTTTTTTATTAATACAATATTATATTTTTATACAATCTGATTTAATATTATTAGTGTTATTAGTACGAGTACTATCATTGAGTATATATAGTATATATACTATAATATACTCAATGGTACTATATATCAGACGGTACCAACATATTTGAACATTTTACCAATATTACTATGTACGTTTTCTATTGTAAAAAAATCATCCTATAAAATAATTTAATGTTGTTGATTTTTAGAACCAAGATGATTAAAATTTGACATAACACGTAGTGCACAATTGTCTTTTAAAGGTTAATGACATAACCAAAAAACAAAACAACACCCCCCCGCGTTGTCATCATTAGGTCGTAACTAGAAAACGAAATGATTTATCGTAAAAATAATTAATTATCGTCACAGCACGTGTGCAAAATAAATAAAATATAAATAATAATCAACGATCGCCCCACTCGAATCGAAAATGAATCGAGAAGATTAATACGCAATAGAATCGGTTACGTTTATTGCGGACCTCACGTACGACACGCGCCCAACCGAACGCGACACTCTGGTGACGTCGTGTGGCCGCTAATAAACGGTCTATCTAAATGCACCCCGTGCACCGTCCTATTCGTCAGTACCTGTAAACACAAAAAAACGTTATGCGCATCGCGGACCACGGGGACTCGGTCTCGACGGAAACGAGCGATTATCGGCGCTACGCGACAAGATCCCACGTCGTTTCAGACGATCCACGCCGAACAACCATCGACGCGGTTACGAAACCCGAGGTGGAAAAAAAAACCGAATCAAACGGACAAATTAACAAAGCGTGCATACGGCGTAACCGCGGCCGTTAACCGTATAACCTAATGTCGTGATAAGCGTTCCAGACTATTGCGTTTTTATGGCGCGGCGCATACGTGCTCAATATATCAATAATAAAATAATCGTGTGACGAGTGCACCTTACCTCCTAATGGCAACTCTGTATTGTAACTCGGCCGAAAATTCTTTCGAAACGAATAGAATACTACGACGTCGTAGTCGTCGTCACAGAACACGAACGTTCGCGGTCCCAGCGTGGACGCGGTGGTCGCACTCGTACGACCCACGCGCGCGGCGTTCACTGAATTCGGCGGTGGCGGCGGCAGCGGCGGCGGCGGTAGCAATACGCGTCGAGCAACTGGTCGGTTTTACGGCGCCGTCGGCCACACGATCCCTTCGAGCAGCGCCGCGCCGGAGAGGGGCCGCCGACACGACGGCGCGGCGTGGGCGCGTGACGCTTGCGCTTAGCACATACACACACACACACGCGCGCGCGCGCGTGTACACGCATTATATTATATGAATGTGTGTGTGTGTGAATTTTTTTTTAGTCTCTGTTCGCCTCTCACCCCATTCCGACCACCACAACTCACCGCCCGCCCACTTGCTCGACGCGTCCTCTTGTCAACCGCCGCCGCACCGCCACTACTCCTGCACACGCCACCTGACAGCCGCCCGAACGGAGTAAGAATATCCATTTTGTCTCTGGTCGGTCAACCGGCCGCGCATTGTTTTTGCATAATTCTTTGTCCGTCTGTCCGGGTTTTTTTTTTTTTTTGTCGTCGTCGATCCGGCGCGGGTCAGCGCCGCCGTCGGTGCGATTAGTGCAGGACTAGGATCGCCGCTGCCCACGTAAACGTCACGCCGTAAACACCGGTAATCGGCTTTACGATGACACCGCGGTGATAACTCCGTGCCCAAAAAAGGCGCGCGCGCGTTCCCCGCAGTACGCACGGACGGATCACCGTCTCCGCGAATGGTGATTACGACAATACTTGTATTCGCGTTTTCCGGTCGGACGTGAGATTCCGGGGAGCTTCGATAAGTTCGATGACGGAATCGCGGAATCGTATACATTATGCAGAACGCTTCCACTACGTGTAGTCGTTTTGTTTCATTTTCGTTTCTTTGGACCGCATACGTTTCTCCCCTTCAGACCGGATAAATGAATTATGGCCTTTTTTTGATACTACATTATATTCGGGTGGAACGGACGAAAAACCAATATCACAATATTCCTTATTCCTTTTTACCGTAGCTTACAAAGCGCGAGTTTCTGTACGGTATAACATTATATTTTGTGATTTTTTTTTTTTCTTAATCCGCGATTTCGTTAATTATTTAACGACTAAAAGTTTCTGAAATAATCCGTTTTGATTTACAGTGTAACGTGCGAAAAATCTAAATATACATAAACAACACCAATTACGATGTATATATTATTTATCGTTCATTCGTATTGTCTGCCATATTAAGACAGCTCTAGCGTTATACTCGATTATTTCGATCGATTCTATGGTTGCTCATCTTCTTGCAGAATATTCCTAATATTCTGAATATATTTTTAAAACGACAATGATGATATACGACCTCCACAAATAATTTTATGCCGCCACACAGTAACGTTATTATTGTGATTTGAATAAACATCTCATGAAATGAACCACTGTGGTGAAGTTCTCGTTTTTTCCACTCATATGCAAAAAAAAAATATCTGTTTAATATATAACTTCTACTTATTGTGTAGCAGATTGAAAAAGTATTTTATTTTTTTTTTTTATTTTTTTTTTTTTAGTAAAAATGAAATAGTTATGAGATTTAATAACAGTCGGTTTCTTTATTCCCTATACACTTTCATTCACCAGTGTTTTAAAAACGAATTCAATTTTATTTGCAACTTTTGAAATATTAACATTTTATACGATTATGCAATATGACATACAGAATATCTATTGTATATTTCCTAAAATTAAAAAAATAAATAAAATAAAAACAGAATAAGGAAAATGTATTAAATATGAAACTTAATTATTGTCTTTACGCAACTGTTTATACATATAACATTGTTTAGTTTTCATGTTTACCCAAAACTACTAATTGTTGTTGAAAATATAATTAATATCAAAACGTAGGTACTGCATATTCGTTTTATTAACTAACTTGTTACCATAAATGTAAATCAGATAATCGTGTATTTTTATAAGTTTATAACAGGATTATAAAGTGTTACTTGTACATAAAGGTGACCAAATTTCTACTGTGGTCACTACATATTAGTATTAGTTTCTCCTGTGTGTACTTCATGTATATCTCATAAGCATAGTACTTAAATTGGTACAAAATATTTACCTCTCATACTTAAATATTTGTTTTAGTTATAGTGAAATATAATTTATTATTAATGTAAATAATTGTGTAATTTATTTTATCTTTTATTGGTCTACTTTTAATCCTCATTCAACAATTGAAATAAAATAAAAACAATATAAATGCTACCTAGTTATTAATATAAACACGATTTGAATTACAAAATTAAATCATTAAGTAATATTGTCACAACAATTCGATAACATTCAATACAATTCAAACTTTAAACTCAAAAAATAGTTCATGTCAATAGAATTCTAAATTATGTATTATATGCATTATACAATGTGAAATTTTCAAAAATTTAAAATCATTCAAAATTCATATTTGAAACTGTACTATCAACGTAATACATTCTTAGGTCACCTAAGTGTTGTGTTATAACTTTCTGTTATTTTTAATAAATCATTGGACTCGATGGACCACGTTTTTCTATTCAATTTGATAAATTATAATATGACACCGAAAAATTAAAATAATTAAACCTGCCTATATCCATATGTAAATATTAGTTACTATTCCAAAACTTTTCTAATATGTCTTTTTTGATCGCAATATTTTATTCTACGTTAAATATTCCAATTGTCGTTGAAAACAATCTATCTCATTGGACTACCTATGGCACATAATAGTGTAAAATAATATAATTATTAACAATAAATATTGCTTTAATATTTTTGTAATATAAATATTATAATTTTACTCTGATTTCGTTTTTATATTGATTTTAACAGTGGTCATTTATATCTTACAGTGTAATGTGTTTATGTTTCATAACATAGGATTTACGTGTACCTTACGTTATATATATAAATATATATTGTTTTAGACACTAAAGTAAAAATTTAGCCCTTATCCGTGTCGTTAAAATGGTATTCATTTTAAGCTTGTTCATAATGCGTAAAATATAAAGTATAAATTGTCTCCCTTGGGCTGTGTAAGAATATTTACCAGTCACTAATCACTAAATATATTATAATAACATTGTAACTCTGTATTTCTTTTTTCACTTATAAGATTGCATCATTAGCATTACATTATCTTTTCAAATGTTCAATGTATTTTCAATCGACCAATCGAGAATAAAATTAATTATATTTATTTATTTATTTATTTTGATACATTATAATTCCATCAGGATTCAAATAATATACATAGCATAAAGTTACAGTTTTTACTTAAAATGTTAATGCAACCGTTGTTGGTTCTAGATTTTGCTTGGATACCAATTTTTCGATTCTCATTTTTTTTTTTTATTTCCATATTATAATAACATTGTATTTTATTCCTGTCACTTGATAGTTTTCCGGTACAATAGTTTCTATGTTTCGTGATGAAGTACGATCGAACACAGTCGTTATAGTGTTGATACGTTTTGAATAATATGATTGAGGGTGCTCAGCCTTTTTTTTTCATGTTATGTTGCCAAACTTTTTGTTATTTCCATTCCGGTGATTAAATACGATGTATTATATTTTATAGCTAAATTTTCACCTAATGCTTTTGACAATATATTATTAAAAGCATATTTTAATTCAAACTAAAACTGCATTGAAATTAACTTATAAAGTTATTAAAAAAAAAAAACAAACGCTTAAGTTATTTAAATCTGAAATCAAAAAAAATTATGAATTAAAGATAATTATTATTTCATACATTTCTAATGTAAAACTATTTTATTATTAAGAATTTAATTTATTGTTTGAAATGTTATACATGTATAAAATCATTTAAGCATAATAAAACACCGTTATACATAAACTGGTGCTTTTTTACAATTAATTTTTTTTTTTTTTAAGTGATGGGATTAAGTTGTTTAAATTATATAAATGTGTTTTACTACCAATAGTACCCAATATGAAATATTTGATAGTTAATTTTCATTATCTTACAAATAGGATTCAACAACTTAATATGAATGAGCGTCCTAAGTAAGTGGGTACCTATTTTTATCTACAGGTATTTTACGCCAATACATTTAAATTTTAATCGTTTCCTTTGATTTAGTGTTAAGATATTAATAAAGTTTATCCACGTCTAAAGAAGGTAAATTTGTGTTTAATTCTTCCTCTTAGTTAATTATTGTACATAATTTATGATTGGTGGTACTCAAAAATTAAAGACAATTTAATAAATACCTACTTAGAACTTTTAAGATTTTCATAAATTATATTTAAATTTAAACCTATTTAATTATTTTATAGATCTTTTTGTACCTATAATTGTTAGGAGAAAATATAGTTGATTTGTATAAAAGTAAATATCACTGTATGTGTCTATGTAACAGTTATGTATTTAGTTTTCAATCTGCACGTATCTTCGGATATTCTGTACTAACCACTCCATAAAAAATATGTAAAATTGGTAAACAGTAAAACTAAGCTGAATTTACGTTACTAACTGAGATTTTAATCGTTTATTTTACAAAAATTTTAACTGGAGAGGGCAATTATTTTTAGTTACAAATAATAATTATTTTTATTTTTAACAATTGACCAGCATTACATTACCAGTTATAGTATATCTTTAAATTATATCATAATAAATTTAATAAAAAAATAGTAAAATATTTTTAGACTTTTTTTTAATATTATTAATAAATTATACAGAAATATACATAAAAAATGAAATAATAAAAATAATACATAAAATATTTTACCTATTTTACCAATTGGTTGTATAAATAAGTAAATAATATACATGTAGCACTTTCCATGAATAAAACAGTAAGTATAAAGGCTGTTTAAGATAAGCAACAATAATTTATATTTTAGCTAAAAAAACAAAGACAAATTATTTAAATCAAGAAAAATATAAATTTTAATTAATTACTAATTAGTAATTAGTAATAGTATGTATATTAGGACAGATTATGATTCTGTACAAATATTTCTACTATTTTTGTCACAGTTATAAATTTAATTTCAAACAAATTTAAAATCATATTAAATGCAACATTTCAACTAATTTAAGATAAACATTTAAA